AGTTCTAGCCACCAGATTCTCTGCCCTGTCTTGATTAGAGCATCTTGGGAGCTGCTCTAAATTATGACATCTGCCAACTGCCTCCATCAGGCTGTAACAAGCCTGGCGAGGTGTTGAGGGGCGTTTTTGATTAATCTGCCATCCCCTAGTGTCCTGCCATGACCCACTTACCTCTCTGGCCTCCTGGTGCACTCTCCTGCCTTGCCTACCTTGCCTTGATGTTTACAAATGGTAAGTGTCCTCAGTCAACCAGGTTGCCAGTCTGAAATCTCTTTGCTGCTGCAGAGATCTCCATCTCTCTTGCTCTCTCAGAGTCTAGGTTGGGTAAGACCATACAGGCCTGGATGGCCAGTTCTGGGTTGTGGGTGTCTGCCCAGCCTTCTCACTGTTGCCTCTGCGTAGGGCTTGCTTCAAGTACCCACTACCTCTCTCACCAAGCATCAATTTAGAGCCTTGAAATGGCTCTCCCAGAGTCCTTGGGCTTCAGCTCAGACCAAAGTGTTTCTGGACTGCTGTGGGCCCTTTTCACAGTACTCTGGGCTCTCAATCCATTTTCACAGGGTTTGGTTGCAGTCCTCAGGCCTGGCTATGGACGGAGATCAGGCTCTTATGTCTCTTTCATGTTCTTTCATGTAAATCTTATCCACCTTTGCTCATGTTGTGAGCTATATGATATATTTACAGGTATGAACATTATGTTTTATTCCCTGTATGGGTTTTCCTATGATAAGTCTAAAAGATTGTCAAAAATTTTGAAAGCTTATGAAATAATATTGATGGCCAAGAAACGTAGTGGTCAGGAATACTCTTCATCTTTCTTGTGCCCTTTATGTTAGTTAATGTATTAGACTACTCGGAGGTTTAATTGTATAATCTTATTCACCAGCCTTATGCTGTGTAATATGACAGATTATGTTGGAGATGGAATATGAATTGAAACAAACTCTCAGAATTGTTGGATTATGAGTTTGTTTCTTGTTTGTGGGCTTGCAAGGGATAAAGTATTATCATTTTACTGTGGAATAATTTTTTTTATAAAAGAAGCCATAAATATCGTATTGATAAACTAGGCTTCATAGCAGATTGAAAAACTCATTGGCAGAGGAGACAAAAAACAAAGATAAATGACCAAATAAGCCATACTTGAAGTTGATGAAAGAGGTGAATCATGTTTTGTTTGGCGGTGATGAACGTGGTGTCAGTAACACAAGTTAAGTTACTTAGAAAGTCATTTTCCTAGCCAAAGTAGAGCTTAGAGTTGTTTATTATACAGCTTGTTTCAAAACTATCTGGAGCTCTGGGGAGCTGTCACATTCAGGTCCAGAATTTGATTTTCAGGCCCTTTACCATTACAGTTGCTAAAAAGGATAATGGTTCCCTCAGATAAACTTTGGTTTTTCCAGGGTTGTTTTTTAATATCAATTTTCCTTAAGCCATTATTGATCTTTTTTTTTGTATTTATAACAGTTTTTCAAGGGAACAAACAACATTCATCCTAGGAATTGTAGCTTGCTATTCTGTTGGGGTAGATTTCATTCTCTTTTTTTAAAAAACATATTCTAAGTAGGGTAACGATACTAATGTATTAATAGTGGAGGTAAGTGAAAGGTAGCTTAAGAAAAGGTCAATGTTGCATAAGTATCATACATGAATATGTTTGCACGTGGAGCATCATGACATAAGGACAAATTCAGAACAGGTATAGGTGGGCACAACCTCATGGGCATTTTGAAGCACAGAGATGTGCTATTTGAATTTACCAGCCTATGCATCCTGCCACTTCTGGGTTCCTGAGCTGCTGGGTGGTTTTGAGAGAGGAGGAAAAAAGTCTTTATATGTATGCACAATTAGGAAGACTTTGAGGGACTGAAGGAGTCAGAAGGCATTATACATTGCTTGTATGAAAGAGAGGGGAAGATAAGATGAGGAATTTGCAGTTTCCAAAATTTGAAGTTAATTAAAAGAATAAATTAGGCCATCCTGTTTCTGGCAGAATGTTGCATTAGATATTGGTTTTTTAATGGAGCCCACTATATTAAAAAGATAATCAATTATTGATTAAATAAACTACTTTATTTCCCAGGCTTGAGCCTTTTTCACAGGTCAAAGTCTCTCCTGACCATAAGTATAGACCTATAATCATTAGCTTTCTGTTTCCTTGGTAAACTCTTTAATTCCCTGCTGTTACTGTCTCCGGGATTCAGCATTCTTGCCACATTTCAATTGCTTTTCTTTCATGCTAATGTTTTAATAATTTATATTTACATTAAGGTTAGCACAAATAACTTACAGTAATGGTTTTTATCCACAACTAGAGGCAAACAGGATCAGTCCACTTATGTCTGTAAACCCTCAGGTTAATTCCTATCATCTCACTGAGTGCACACCATGAACTGAATTGTACTGTTTGAAGGATGTTGCATATATATATGTAATTGTACGTTGATGCCTCTATAAGGAAAGAATAGCACATTATTTTTCAGCTGGAGGTACCAGAAGTAAAACTACTTGCTTTTGAGTCGAAAGCAGAAGCTGCTCTTCACATTAGAGGATGTGGTTCATCTTCCATTATTTCCAGGAGATTGAATAACGATGCCTCAGTTGCTCAAATTGATTGCTTTCTTCAGAAACAAAATCTGAATTATCCAAAAGATTCCTATTGAAACACTAGTATCACTGGCTTTGGTCATGCAGAACTAGGTTGTATCTGCCCTTCCCAACATAAATAGATATGAATAATATTTAGTTGTCTCATTATTTGCAACCGTAAAACTCTGAAAGACTTTGTAGCTACTACCAGAAGGTAAAGCTATTCTTACAACATACACACAAAGATAAGGAAAGAAAGTTCCTGGAAAATATAAGTCAAATGCAACCATTTTGATGTCCTGATACTGGCTTGTAAGAATTCCTCTGTGCGGCTCAGATCCATTTGCAGGTAGTAGAGAGCGTTATCAGTTTCCAGAGGAAATGGGTTTCCAAACAAGTTTAAGACTGCTGCAAGTCTGTCAAACTCAGTGACTCATGACTTGAATTCTGGAGTCAAATTGGCTATTGTTCTAAAATAAAGGAATCTCAGAAACTCGTTAATAGTCCATCAGTCAGCATCACTAGAAGATGTGGAAAGTAAACAGCTTCTTATTTTCAAGCCACATTATGCATTTAATTTTCAGAAGGATGCAGTTTGCTTAAGCAAATGTTGAAGCTCCAAATAATATTGGGAAATTTCTTGGCACTTGGCATCTGAAAACCAAATTGAATCAGATAAACCCTTGTATCAATCAGAAAAAGAAGTCACACCATTCTCAAGATTTTGAGTAATAAAGGGTAGTGCCACGTGCTTCTTTGTTGCAATCTTTTTTCTTTTAGTGGACTTACATCAATGATAATTTTGGTTCATCGTTTCTTTAACAAATAGGATCACAGGACATTACGGCTGCTAGGGGAGTTCGTGGGGTCATTCATCCCTGACTAAACTATCTCAGCTATTCTCACCTGCTTTTGAAAATTTCTAAGAATGGAGAGTCCAGAGCTTCTCTAGGGAACCTGTTCTGACACTTGACCACATTCGTAGAAAGTTCCTCCTAATCCCCAATCAAAATTTCTCTGACTAAAGAGCAAAACTCCATTAGGGCATGAAATTCATCTCTGGACTTTGTTGACTTTTGAAGTAGCAAATCCACATAATTTGTTTACTACGGACAGGCCAAATGAGTTTTTCCAATTCAGGAAGTTCCACATTAATGTGTCTTTACCATTATGAGACTGTATGGCCATGGACAGAAATGAGCTGAATGGTATTTATGAATAACTGCAGGGCAGTCACAATAAGCAAAGCTTTTTTGAGTCTTTATTATCCATTGCCCATCACAGAGCCAAGATGTAATTTCAAAAGAACATATTTTCCCTGGGAGCTCTGAGAAGTCTTGGCAGAAACCTTGATAAATATTTCGTTTGTGCTCCCCCTGGCATGCACAACTTTTTCTTCTAATCCTACTGTAATGAATGCTTGTTGTACTAACATTAAATACCTTAATTTAACACTTTTTAAACATCCCTAGATTTTAACCTTCTTTTGTTTTAGAATGCTGCTACATTGCTTTTCTTCTTATGCGTTGGGTCTCACAAAATAGTAATATTAGGCTACTGCAGGTTTTCCCTCCATTTTTATATGTTAGTGCACCCCACTATAACATTCAATGGGAGTCTTTCCAGTGATTTCAATAGATGTTGGAACACATCATGACTAAACGATACAGTATTTTATAAGTGGTCAAATTGGGAGATTGTTGAAAATAATACTTTGCATAACATGGTAAAACAGAACACGTTGTTTTCCAGTATAATTTATTTGCTATCATGCACCTTAAGTAGGTAAAATCCTGACTTCACCAAAGTCAATGGAAGTTCTGCCATCCATGTGTACAAGGAAGTAGGGCAATGTAAACACACCTAACAATTTGGATCTACATGTTTAGCATAAGTGTGAATCGTCTTGTCGAAGCACCAGTTTATTCTAATTTATAGTAAAGAGCATAACTAAAAGAGTTTCCCAGCAGCAAATAGTTTATAGCAGTCATTCGAAGCCAAGGTAGCATGCTCCTTCTTGTCCCCATCAATGAATAAGCATGGGAGAAAATGATAGAACAGTATTGTCCAGAGGGTAGCAGCTACATTTCCCATTGCCATTCAAAACACTTGGCCATAAATTGGAAAGTCCAACAATCCCAGTCCTTCATCTAGTATTTTCCTACTACACACCTCTAACCCTGGGGCGGGGGGG